GACTAGCCTGTGTCTCTCTAGCATGGCTATCTATGGATTCCAAACCTAAATAAGAAAAAGTCTTGAAGGAAAATAGAAGCTTTAATAATGTGTGGACACATTTACTTGCTTTCACTACCAAAACTGCAAAGTACTAGATAATACTAAATAATCATAAACAGCCCACTGCAGAGTAGCCATCTTGTTGTACATCATATTAATGAACGCTCATTTAGACCTATTCGTAATTTTGATGGGCTAATTTAGATTTAACAGGCTCTAACCATTACTCAAATATGTTTTGCCTCTCCAGACAGTTTGTTTTGTTCTTTTTTTTTAGCAAATAATGACTCTTTTGATAGTTAAAGTTGCCAAACCCTGGTCTAGTGTATAAGATTTAGTGGCATCTTTCCGTGAGCTTGCAGAGCTGAAACCTTTCCCTTGTGCCAAGCATTTAGGAGAACAATGGTGGCCTACACAAAAACGTGAAAACGTGAATGGCACTATCTAGAGTCAGTGTTTGGTTTGTCCATTCTGGGCTGCTGTAGCAGAATATGGCATCCTCTGTAGGGAAAAGACCTCTGCTGCTAGATAAAAAGGGCTAATTTTATTGTAGCGTTTTTCGATTTTTGTCAAGAGATGCTCCTAAATCCTACACACTGGACCTTTAAATGACAGATGCTGGTTGTTGGAGGCATCGGCATTCATCTTATGTATTACTTAGCACCAATTGTTATACTTTGGGGGTCTTAGAAATAGAAGATATGCTAACTATTGGGAGAGTAAGTAGTCAGTAGTCTAGCATCACGTCAGATTCATTCCTTCAAATACTATTATGACCTACATCCAATTTGTTCTGGTCCCAACCGCACTCTGTTGCAGTGATGCACTGATGCAGTTTTAATGTTACATCATTCTTAGTAATGTTGTGCATAATAAACACTGTAATTTGAAAGGTCATACTGTAGGATCTCAATAGACTGCATGGGTTTCATCCAGAATTCTGATCTTGGGCTAATATGCATGCATTTACTGAATCATTTTTGTACATATTTCAAGAGATAAGAGATTGCTTCACAGAAAACGAAGATGGCAGCAACAATAACAACAACAGCAACAAAACAGCTCTTAAGAAGTAGTAATTGCCCATTTAAGATTCTGGAGTGGTTCAATAGCACCTAAAATGAACATGAGCTATGTGTCAGGAGGCAAGATGTGCACCTGATCAAAAAAAGACAGAAAGAGGAAAATTAAATAACTGAAAGGCATAATTTGGCAATTTATTGGGCACAAAACATTCCCACCATTAATTAAGTTAAGGAGATGAATGTAGGAATTTTAGGTTAAAACAGTCCTAAATACAAGGTAACAAATCATTACCATTGCAAATTATCTTTCCCTCCCTTAAGACTGATTGATTGTTCAAATACGGATGGGATTTGCTCTTTTCGCCTATTAGAAATTGCCAGATATTTTAAAATGGAACCCTGGTGGTTTATAAAAGCCACTCCACAGAGGTTTGCTATAATTTTAAGTATCTCATTGAAGCCAGCAGCACCTGCCACGGGGGACTCAGACATAGCTGCAGCATCAGCATATCATATCACAAAGTATCCTCTTGTGTATTATTGTTTTGATAGTAAGCTACAGAATAAAGTGTGGAGCTAAAAAGCCCTCATAAAGTGAAGGGAACACAATTCAAGTAAAAATGTAATTAACATGGTGCTGTCACTGCTAGAAAGGGTGTGTGTGTGCACGTGTGTGTTTTACACGTTTTTGTTTTTTGATTGGAGAATGGGGATGCCTCTGGTGAAGATAATTAAGACTTTTGGTGTCAAAACCAGCCTGTGAGTGTGTCAGGAGAACTAAAGCACTGACGACCGCCAACCTCAACGAGCATGCACAAAGATCTGTGTTACTTGTGCTGCTGTCACTGTTCATTGATACGGCTTGTCAGGATGTGCAGGAGGAAAAACAAGTTGTGTTGTCTTAAGTGTTGTCATTAATGGGTTTCGGTCATCTGTGTGTATCCACTTATGTGCAGAATGCCGTGTAGATCATCTACAAAACGATCAGCTGTCCCACTATTGTGTCACATTGCTCTTTCATGTCTTAGTGATGAGGAGTCTTTGGGCCTCTGATGTGAGTAATGATTTTCTAATAACCTGCAGCTTGTTAGCTCAGCTGGCTGAAAATCTGACTGCCAAAGTGTCTGCATCCTGTTTGGTTTGTGTGTGTGTGAGTGTGTGTGTACTCTTCACTAAAACACAAAAGTACAGACTGTCAGTTTCAATTTGATAGCCCTTTGATCCATATTGGGATGAATTGTTCAAAAAAACCTGACATAACTTTTGCATCAGCACCCACATTTTGAGGTGCCAGGAGTGTTTTAAGTCTAGGAATTGAAAATTTATATTTCTACTTCTAGGTTTCTGCTTGCCATGAATATAACTAGAGTCTTGATATCTTACTTTACAGCAGTCTTACCATCTTTTATTTTTTTTTCAAGATAACTAAAAAGAGGTTTCATATAAGGTTTAGACACTGTGTGGAGAACTGTGTAAGGATTAAAGGTGGTGCATCCCCACATTAGAGGAGAGTAAGTGTCAGTGTTGAGCATCAGTGTTTTCCTCATTAGTGCAGTTAAGTGACACAGGCTACAAGTAATCTGCTCTTTGTATACATGAAGAGAGCAGCAGCCGTCTTTAAAGGTATACTACGCAGGAATTGCCGGTAACGATGCTTAACAGTATCACTAGCGATAGTGAAAGCCAACTTCAGCTTTGTCTGCCAGTTGGTTTGCTTCGCTGTATTTACGTTTTTTTTTTTCTTTCAGCTCCATGTTTGTGACTGTCGTAGCTTCCTTTTGATTAGACTCTGCTTACAGTCTGGTGCCTAGTCGCTCTTTTTGTAAAGTCCTGACCTCGTCTGTGTGCTGTACCCAGAAACATCCCATACAAAGTAAAATAAGTAGAAATTAAGAAAATACAGCGTAGCGTACTGTTAACTATAGTGGCAGGAAGACGTAGACGTAAGTTGGACAGCCTCTCTTTATAGCATTAAGCTAGAGTGGTGCAGGAGTAACTTCTTGTTCCATCATCTTAAATTAAATGGGGTTTTTTTTTGACAGGTTTTTGGATAGATGCCTGTAATAAGGTCTGTGCTTGACACAAACTTAACAGACCTTCATGTTTTGCTCTATGACAAAAAAATATCAGTAAATACCCTACTCGTGAACTTTGAAGCTTTTAGGTGTCTTAAAAAAAGGCAGTTGCTAACAACTGGCAAAATGAGACTACCAGAAGGTCTTGATGCTGAACACAGCTTTAAGCGTAACTATGGTGGTGACGTTAAGTCATGTGACTGTAGTATAGTATAGCATAATGTTAGCTTTCTACTCCTGGTGACTGCATTTAAACTTCAAAAAATCATAAAAGTTAATTTGTAAAGACCATCTTGCTGGACAAAACATGTAAGTATCATAGTACAATATCAAGGCTGGTGGGTAAGGGATATCCTGTCTTTGGGGTAGCTGTTCCAAAGCTGTTGTATAGCCTTCCACTCCCAATAAAATGCTCCCCCTCCACTGACACTTTTAAGACAACTCTTAAAATGTACTTATTTTCGAATGGCCTTTGGTGGTTAATAGTGGTTTTAATATGTTAGTATTTTACAATCTTTTTTATGCATGTAATTGTTCTCACCTGTGTTATTCTGTTACATATTTGTGTACATGTCATATTACTATATGTTTTTGGCATCATTCTTTGTACTCTTTGGTAAACCACTTATTTTTACATGTGCTATATAAATAACCTTGATTTGATTTGATAAACTTTTGTTTGCTACAGAGCCTTCTTTTTGTGCACTTGTCTTATAATCCATGGAAAAGTCCAATTGGCTTTTTCATGAGGGACCATGGCGACTCTAACTTCCGGGTTGGCCGACAAAAAATAAATACACAAATCATCCCTGCAGCACTCTATAAATGCTGAGACAAGTGAAGTTTGAGGTGGGATGCACCAAACAAATGTTCCCGAAAAAGAAACAAATCATGTATTTTTTACCCATGCTGATGGCTATACAAGTATTCATGGGCGATTCCCTACTTTGCTCCAGACTGAAATACCTCTACAACTACTGGATGAGATACCATAACGTTTTGTACACACATTCATGACTCTTATTATTGTTATTCTTATTATTATCTAACACCATCATCCGGTCAAGAACAGCAAATGTTACATTGCTAACACTCTAAACTAAGATGGTTAACAAGGTAAACTGTATAAGTGCCCAATATCAGCATATTGAGATAGTCATTGGAGACATGTTAAAGATATAGTATTCTGGATTTTCAAAAAAATAAATAAAATAGTGTATAGACTCATACAGAAGTAATCCCTCTCAATCATCACTTATGACCCAACAGAAGTGTGAGGTGTTGTGCTCTATGCCTGTATTTTCTTATCTTCTTCTTTTATTTTTTTGTGCTTGGGTCCATGTTATGGGTGTGTACCCCCACAGCGCTCAGATGAGGTCAGGTTTTTCTAAAAAGTTAGAACCACATGCTAGACTGCAAGTAGCAGGCATCCAAGAGACACTGTGTCGACAAAATGCAAATATAGCGAGGTGAAACACCAAGCAAGAGTGAATCTGGGGTTGGCTTTTACTTTCACTTTTACTGGTGAGCGTGTTTGCAAACAGTAACCAACAATCCTGCATTGTATATCTTTAACAAGCTGATGTTAGCATTTATCTCAAAGCTAAAGTATAACCTCACAAAGCAGCCAGGGTGGCTGCAGACTCTTGTTAACTCAAAGTGTCTTTGTTCACTTTTGTGCAATGTCAGTAAGGATAGCATCACTGAAACTGTTGGCAGCTATTTATTTATGACGAAAGCGACTGAGTGCAGTGGGTAACAATGTAGGATTGGATGTGCAGACTTTATTTAGTCAGGGATATCCATATAGACAATCTCGCACTAACCCATGTCTTGTTTTTCTGTTCTTTCTCCTCAGGCCTTTGGATCCATCTCCCTGGGCCATCTTTTTTCTTTTCAGTCCATCTCCAGTCGCCACAATGTATCTTCATGTTGAGTCTTAATAAATCACAGCACGCCACATAGAGGTAGGCGATAATTCCCACACACACACACACACACACACACACACACACACATATATAAGATAAGAAGTACATCTTTTACTGTACTTCTTATCTTATATGAATTTAAAGAGGTGCTAATTGAGGTATGTAAAATGGGCTCTGCTGGGAACTGTGACATGGAGTTTGCGCAGTTTCCTTTTAATGGCACCTGAAACATACATAAACAGTTATTGCCAATTCAGTTTAATAAAATTTTAATGACCCCCTTTGGGAAATTACATAAGTATAGGCTATTAGATAATGTTTTGATTTATGTCATTGAAATACACACAAAATATACTGTCTTTACACTAACTAGGAGTACGCATTAAATTTTAGAGGACAGTTTCTGTCTGTTAGCTGTGGAATTTAATCATGCTTTTGTGTCACATCAGTGGTATTAAGTCGAAGTCATTTATCGTATGCAATTAAACATGCTGCATATGTATGCACCTGTGTATTTGTGAGAGTGAGTGTGTAAAAATGGATGCATTTGCCTGCCTAACTAATGTACCATACCAATACGACTTATTCACATGTGAATGTAAATGTGCTCCTGCCGTGTGTGTACTGCCTCTCTGTGGCTGCGTGTGTATGTTTGGTGAGAGCAGTGCTGCAGTCCAATGTGCTCTGTCTCTGTTACAGACATATTAGCAGGGCTGTGAGAGCACAGAGGCCAGACAGGTTTGCAGGCAGAGCAGAGATAGCGCTATTGATGCTGGCTAGAATGGAGAGTAGATGGATGTAAATCAAAAAGGGATACACTGTGAGAGTACTCATAAATCATCAGGGTTTTTCCTGGCTCAAAATGAGGCAGAGGTGGTGTCATCCTGATCAAGTGCACACACGTGCATGTGACCATGCTTTCAACTGGCTCAACTATTTTAAATAACACATTTTAGGAGTTCTTATAAATACACAAAAAATATATATTTAATTACAAATAAATAGCTGTCAAATTCTTTTTTTTTTTTTCTTTAAGATATTATTTTGGGCATTTTTTGCTTTTAATCAACAGGACAGTGAAGCATGAAGGGGGGAGAGAGAGAGAGGGAGAGACATGCAGCAAAGGGCCGCAGGCTGGACTCGAACCCGGGCCGCTGGTGATGACCTGGTTAAGACATGTTTGAGACTGAGGACATGACCAGAAATACTGATATACTGAAGATCTTGAAAATCAATTTGATTCTGCTGGCGAAACATTATTCACACAAATGAAAATCTACTCCTGTTTTTGGAGGCACTAAAGAAGTCATTTGAAAAGGTATTTTATGTAATACCCCCAAGACACTTTCACGAGACAGCCTTGTTTTTGTTATATAAGTTATTTTGATTATGTTACTCCTGCATTGTCACCTCACAGCAAAAGGGTTCCTGGTTTGAACCCTGGGGTGGGGGAGCCCTTCTGTGCTGAGTTTGCATGTTCTCCCCATGTTAGAATGGGTTTTATGTGGGTACTCCGGCTTCCTCCCACAGTCCAAAGACATGCAAGCTAATTGATGACTCTAAATTGGCGGTAGGTGTGAATGTGAGTGTGAACGGTTGTCTGTCTCTATGTGTCAGCCCTGTGATAGTCTGGTGACCTGTCCAGGGTGTACCCCACCTCTCACCCAGTGTCAGCCGTGATAGGCAACCGTGACCCCCAACAGGATAAGCTGTTATGGAAAATGACTGAATGAATTATTTTATCAGTATATGTGGCAGTCACGTTCTCATGTACTGTAATATACTAATATCATGTTTTACTGATGTCTGTTTGAACGTTAGAACTGATAAATTACATTTCAAACATCATCTCAGTTTAAGACGACATTCAGACAGACATATGGGGGCACATGTCAGAGTAGCATTCACCAACGCAGAGTCAACTGCCATTTGCAACAGAATGTATAAACTCTAACTGGCGATAGAAAACTATCAATGAACAACAGAGAAAAGAAGGTTTTAGCAAAGACGTTACCAGCGGAAACACTGTGGCGCACCAGGCTGCCTCAATTTTGCTGCGGTCCAAAACAGACGGCTTTATTCTTTTTCTTTGGCAGTGCCTTTTGGAGTGAACACCACCACATTGGCACAAATGCAGTGACAAACGACAGAAATCCAAAAAATCCACGCTTATTAGAAAATAGTATTTTCTAGAGGCGGGACTGAATTTGACAGAGGCAGCCGCCTCATAATTCTGCATGCAGGAAAAACCCTGATCATCACTTGCCTGCTGTTGTCTGAAATTTTATTACAGTCTCTTGGTAGGGCATTCATAGACCTCAGTATTGCCTATAGCACTATCACTCTATTAAGCTTTCCTTTTGTTTGATAGATATAGGGATACAAAGACATATACACTCTGAAAATTCCGCTCACTTGTCATTCAGTTTGATCCATCACAGTGAGAATTGTTATTTGAAACTATACCTGTGAGGACAGCACATTTTGCTGTCCTACAGATCTAGACATCTATACGTATACAGTTACATTCAAGGGCCAAGACTTAGTTCCTCAGCTGCCACCTGGTATACAAACTGTTATCACCTGTTTGGGAGTAAAGTACAGCAATTTGATGTCAGGAGTATTTGACTGGGTCAGGCCACATTTAAACCTTTATAAACCTGCCGGGTTTGTAACTGGACAGATTGTAGACAGTGGAGATTTTGGCAGGGAGCCTGTCAGAGCACAGCGCGGCTTAACCCCGTAGACCAGTGGGAACAAAGGTCAAAAACAACAAAACATTCCAGATCCTGAGACCAACGTGAGCTATCAATCAACAGGCAAAGCTATAAAGAGAAATTGTAGACCTGCATTGATCCATTGTACATTTATTCATTAAGATATAAACTCAGTGGACTTTCACAACTGTCGTCTCTCAGGTTGTGTGCACTGCCTTTTTATTTAAGAGCTGGAGGGCATAGGTGTTTATTTTCTATCACAAAACATGGACAACCTCCACCCCAGATGCTCTGTTATCTCTTAAGATCCTAATACTTTAGATTTTTTTTTTCCCAGGTGCACAAAAAGTTAGGAACTCATTTCACTGGTCTTTCTTTCTGTTGGTTTTGTCATCAATTTGGGACTACTGGCAGTAACCCAAAAAGCAGTCAGGAGGACAATTCAGGCAATCAGTTAAAGCCATAACATTCTCTAAACATTTTCTGGCAGTGTAGGTGAGCAATTTACCCCAATAGTATTTCCCGTTACATCCCCCGTTATTTAATGGTTGCATACATTGCATTTGCACAACATGTGTCCTTTTCCTTTGCAGCTTGGTCCCCAGAAACACACATTTGTGCATCTGCTGTATGTGTATGAATCATTAAAATCCTTTTTGTGTAGGCCTACAGTATGCATACTTATCACAGTACCATCTATCACACTCAATAACAGCAAAATCTCATCATGTACGATGATGATGTACCCTTCTCTGCATGTCATTTTCTCAGTTAAATATGAGTCTTACATTTAAACAATATGTTAAGTCATCACAACGTAAAAAAACTTAAAGTTAAAACAAAAGTGATCATGTTAACAATGAATTATCACATAATGATATGGAACCTTTTTCATTTTAACAATGTCAGTTATCACGTTATAACATGAAATGTTTTATTTTATAACATCAGAACAAGATAAATAGTATACTGTCATAACAACAAAAGTTTGTTATAATGCAAAAGTATCTTGTTAAAACACGAAAATATGGGGTGCATTCCAAATCAAATACTTTATCTTTTTCTTTTAATAAGTACTGCAGCTGCCCTTAAGAAGTATGTACTGCTGCATACAGTATGCACACATTCGGGACATGCTACTGTCTCATAACATTACGCAGTGAACTTTGACCATCTTGCTTTTATATCTGTTACCAAGGAGATTAAAAAAACGCTGCTTACTGAGTTCACCAGAGACAAAGATCAACCCGTAGAGCTCTATTGTTGTTACCTTACATTATATATACTTTAACTTTAAAGTTTTAATTGCACAGATTGTAGATTCTAACATATTATATCTGCAACAGTGAAATTACATCGAGTGCTCTGTCATTGTTATTTTTATAGTTTTGTCCTGTCATTGTTTGTAATATTTATGATTTTTTTGTTCACTTAAACAAGTAATATTCCTATCATTACTATTTGATTGGTCAGCGATTACTTGAATGCGCTGTCATTCGTCATTGCAACTTCTGACAGCTGTCAATTGGATTGTGGATAGTGGCTCAGAATAGCTAGAGAAGCTTGCTGGCTTGCATACTGCAAAATAAGACCAGATGTAAAAGAACATTCTGGTGTTTTTGGCATATTGCATTTCACATACTATGTATTGGGACATAGTAAATCTTTATCTGACATACTACATACTATGGTAGTGTGGGGATTGGCATCCACAGATCTTGTAAAATATGAAATATGATACCTGATACTGATCCATTTTTTCCTCCTGGTGTGGCAGCAGAATGCTGCAGTACAAAAGCCCTTAACATCTCAAAGAAAAAGGAAAAGCTATTCCAAGAACATCCCTTATTATGGCTTTTTAACAAAGTGATGTAGCTCCCTTACATTATTCTCAGTTTCACATGGTCAGCTAACTGGGATTTTGTACCATGAATAAGAGCTGTTTATTGACTAGAAGAGTCAGCGATTTCCTTGTTAATAGAATTTTATGTGAATGCAGCACTCTCATAATGGCCCTTTGGGTTATGACTGTTATATTGTTTAACATAGAAGCCAGTAAAGACCCACAGTGTAAAGATTAAAGTCTGTTTCTTCTGATTCTACCTAAAATCTTTGTTATACTGCACATAAATGTCACAAACTACCCGTCCTGACGTGAGTGTATGTGGCTGTTTGTAGCTGTGCTGAGGTCAAGCTGCATGCATGCTGAACAACAGTAGAGTCAAAAGAGGTCCTATGAAGAGTAATTCTGCTACAGGAGTTCTCTCCAGCCAACCTATTACAGCGTATTAACTGGCTTACACACCATTTTAGAAGTGG